CTTCCGGGAGATGCTGCGATCTGATCTGGATCGCACGTCGTCGTCTATCTTTGCGTAATCGCGATCACCGGAGTAAACCACTTTGTTAAAGAATACAGGCGTGCAACCGCTGGATCTAGTCTCGGGGAAACATTGCATTCTATCGTAGGCATAATCGCCAAACGGAGTACTTTGAGGACTCCGCGGATTCGAGAACGGTACGCTTTCAAATTCACGATCGTTGGCTTCGTATTCCGTTCCTTTATCATCTGGCGCAAACGTGCCTGATTTAACTTCGATATCTCTGTTTCTCGATCTCATCGAAGAATCTCGTTTGCGGACTTGAGAGTACGACAAATCTACGTTCGATCGTCGACGAACGACACTTTCGTTTACTTCGCTCCGAACATCATCTTGATCGATAAATTTCGCTTCTTCATAATTCTTATTAGAATTCTCTGGATATTTATAGTATTCTGAAAGTTTGTTGGCACTAGTGGCCGATATAATCTTACTATTGTAGATTCTGATAGGTATCCTAGAAGGAACGCGCGATAGCGATTTTCTAGGCGAATCCGACGTCGAGGATCTCGCTACGCGCCACGTTTCGCCTTTCGCAGGAAAATCCGAAGCTCTGCTCGATGCATCGATCGTATCCTTACCGTGCCGATAAAAATCCTCGCGTTTTCTTGGGACATTCTCCTCTTGTCTTTTTCGCTTTAAAGATACGTCCGATAAAGCTCTGATCAACGCGTGGGGATCGAGAGGTCGCGTAGCGGAATATTCCCGACTGCCTGCTGACGTCGAGTACGAAATATCTTGCGAATTTAACGCGAGCGCAGGAACTTTTGTTATAATTTCCTGGTCGCAATTATCCGACGTGTCGATGTCATTATTTTGGAATCTTCTACTCGAGAGCTCTTCTTTCTGTAAATATATTTTTCCCGTAGATGACCGACTATGACCTTCGCTCTCTAATAGTCCTGAAGCTCGAGACGATGAAGCCTCTTCTAGAGTGTCACTTTGAATTCTTTCAGTTAAATGCGGTGTCTCGACGGTTTCTTGTGTATAAAGATTCGTTAATTGATTCCATTCTGAAGTATCGAGAATATTTCTGTCGAGGTTTTCTGAAGAATTTATTTCAAGATTTGACTGATTCGTCGGGCAATTGAAGATAAATTGATCTTTAATGTCATCGCGACGTATTTCCGGCGTGATACACTGATAACTTTCCGTCTCTTCTTCCTGATTACCTTTATCCTCAAAGTCTGACTCGATCTGTTTAAGTTCGTTATAGATCTTCATTATAGAGTCATCGTGAATCCGTTCGTTGCATACGTTTGTTACAAGTTCCGCTGACTCTGACATAAAACTTCTCGCGGAGAAAGTTGACGTATTTTGTGGCATCTCTATTCGTTTATCATGCGTATCTTCGTATTTTGGCTCGATTTGAAATTCGTTGCAAGTTTTCGTTACAAGTTCATCGCATCTTGCTCGTTCGTTAAACACAGCTTTTACAGCGTTACGAGTTATTTTTTCTAGCTCGTTACATGTTTTCGTCATATTGCCATCATGGTTTACTTGCCCAGCAATGCAACTTCGCAAAGTGTCTTGAGAAATCCGGTGATCGAAATTATCATCGCCGAGCGATCGCGACGAAGGCAAAAGATTCGGCAGTATTGACCCGGTAATGTCATTCCTCGCGGACATGATCGGCATCTTCTTGATGGGTTCGTTATTAGCAGCGATCTTGGATTCTGGCGAGGATAATTCCAAAGTCGCGATCGACTTTTCAATTGAATTATCGATTTTTCGGGCAGATGAGAGTCCGCGATTCACTTCATTGACGGATTCCGATTCGCTGCCGGAGCTCAGATTTTTCAAAACCACTCCGGAAGATGGACGATATCCTCCGAACTTTTTAGGTCGAATACTATTGAGAGAAAACGGTGAAACCGATGGAAGATCGGCTGATTTTAACGCGCTGTCACGAGGCATGAAGCTTCGATGACTATGAAAGGCTGATATCGCGCTTCTGATATCGCGCGATTCACCATTATTGTGATAGGAGTAACGCGTGGAGGATGGTTCGGACAAGGAAGAGGGTCGGGATTGTTTTCGAGGTATCTCGATCGCGGGCAATCGCAAACAATCTCCATCTCGCGCCGATCGATCTACAGAGGATTCGGCGGGATTTGACTTGTCGTCGTCGGTGATTTTGGAAGGATTGATAGGGCCGCCGGCTTGCGAAATCACCATCGCTTTATTGTCGTAGCGAGACGAATTTTCCAGGCGAACTCGCGCCCTTCTTCGAGCTCGGGCGTCTTTCGATCTGGACGCTCCCAAGGAACTCTCCCAAAGTTCTGCCCTTTGTTCCCTCTCCTCCCACTCGTCGTTCTCCTCGATTCGATTTGCCACTCCGTGCAAACGTAGAAAGAGCTCGCGTTTGCGACCGATTCGTCGACCAAGAGCGGCTACGCGATCGGCCAGAAGAGTGAATTCGTTCGGCGACGGTAAATCTTCAAGGCGCCTTCTCAGATTGGACGGCGAACTATCACTGGAATCGCTGGGGTTGGATACTCGATCCTCTGATGTAGTGTTTATTATTTGATTTGTAACATTCGGTAAGTGTTAATCATTGATTGACATTGTAAAATTGAATCGAAATAATATTCCAAAGAACATCAAAATTCTTTTAATTCTATAAAGTCGATTTAAATTTTTAATTTAATGTGTAACTTCATTTGGTAATTTTAGAAATTTTTTAGTTTTTGAAATTATAAAGAAAAGCATTATTTATTTCACGAAATGTTGAATAAGACGATTATTATATAATCTTTCATTATAGTATAAATTGAATGTTGATATAATGTGGTTATTACGATATAGAAATTGTTTAATGATATTAAATGGCATTCTCTGTTTTCAATAATAACACTAAATTGTATTTGATTTTGGGAATAAATGTTATTACATTGGACAAAACAATGCAGGTTATATGTTCAATAGAGTTGAACGGTTTACTTTTACAACATATATATATATATATATATATATATATATATATATATATATATATCACACGATATTTTAAATGTATCTATTAGACGTGATGCAGACAATTTATAAAAATTTATAAAGAAATACAAAATGTATAAGTTGCAAATTTATAATATTTAAAAAAATAATTTTAATACCTCTCGGCGTAGATAAAGGACTGATTGTTCTTATTTCGGGAATGCTTGGAATTGCGGTATCATCGCTTTTCATATCGTTTCCATATGCTATTATTTAAGAATTATCTATTTAAATAATAATTAACTAACTCATAAAATACATGTATTATTATTATTATGACAGATTTCACTTTTGTCGCATAAAAACATAAGAATAATTTCTATAACTCGATTAGATCGAATGCGCAGTAACATCTGCTTAATATGAATAACATTGTAAAATTAAATAAAAAATTTAACAATTATTTATGAAATAATATCCACATAACAAAGGTCTAAATATTTTATAATTTTATATTTTATATTCGTGAGAAACAAAAATTTGTCCAACATTTATGTACATATTTTGTTGCGAAAATTTTAAAATGCAAAGTTAGTATTCACAGATAATGTCCACGTCTATAAATTATGCTTTACTCACGTCAAATATCTTGCAAGTCAACTTATTTACATTTTTATTGCAATCGATGGCGACAATGATATTTTGAAGATTATAAGCGGCAAAATAATTAAATTATGTGACACGCAATTTTTTCCTTCTCTGATTATTAATGCATTAGTTTAAATGTAATTATAATTTAATGTATTTGTTATAGAGTTATTTTCAGAATATGCATGACATTCCTCCTTCATTATTTTTCAATATTCTATATTAAAAAAAAATATTTATTAATGATTGTTTTTAAATTAAATAAAATAAAACATTGGTATATTAAATAAAGCAGAAAAAAATAGAGAGATATAAAAGGATAAAAAAATGTATTTTAAAAAATATTGGAATACTTAAGTGATGGCATATTTTGTTTTTAACTGTTGAAAAATGTCAAAGAATCGGTGATAGACGAGAGAGCTAATCAGTGATAAGTGATAAGCTTGAGAGGTATGCACTCGGCGCACGTAAACGAAGGACGAGCAATTTGCATTTGCGTCGACGCGCAATTTCCGCGATACGACGAGTGTATTACGACAACCACGCGCAACTTAATGCATCCGACGGATATTTGCGTTAATGAATGCGTTACTCGAGGAACTGGTTAAGTGAGCCGGGATGATCTCGATAAAATAGCCGGAGACTTCAGTAACTACCTCGCGCCGCGATGTGGCTACTATTCCGACAGTAGTTATTCTAATTTCGCCAATTTGATCATACCTATCCAAATATACGACAGTTTATAGAACAGCGACACGCACACATATATACGCAATAAAAAAATTTAGTCTTGAAAAATAATTGATGTTTTTTGCCTCTGTATTATGAATATATTTCATTGTATCGATTCATTTTTTTTTAAATATTTGAATTTTACGTTGGATTTTTCTTTTCTTTCAGTTGGAGGTACAACACTATTTGTCGCCTTATATTTTCAATAGCCCAGTCTGGCTACCATTCATCGATCGCGTAGAAATTTTTCGTCATCTGGAACATCACGGAACTCGACTGTCGAAGACGAAGATGCTATTTTGCTAGGAACTGCGTGGCATAGAGAAAGAGAAAGAGAGAGAGAGAGAGAGAGATCTGTGAAGCGCGCGTCGCATCCGCCGCGGTTTCTCTGGTGGCGGAGAGAGCATCGCGCCAAAGAGGAAAGTCTAGCTAACGAGGGAGCCAAGAACAGCTTACTTGGCGGAGGCAGACCATTTTCGAAAGTTCGCCGAGTTGTGTAACAAACTTTACTCGGGATTGGTTGCCCGAAGGGACGACGGGTGGGGCCGCCGGAAGTGGGAGACGGACCGAGGAGACAGACAAGAAGAGGGGAACAGAGAGAAAGGGAGTCGAAGATAGTCCTCCTTATAGTAGAAAAGAGAGACGCGCCGGAAGGAGAGAAGGAGAAGCATTCGCCGAGTGTAGGTCGAGGTGGGAAGGGGAGCGAGGCGCGGAAGAGATCCTCCGAGAGAAGAGATTCAGTTAGGATTCTATATACCCGATCCACCGTTATACGTCCGACAAGCTACGTGCGTCCCCGTAATCGTAAGCGATCCCCGGGTGCCTCTGGGAAAGCGGCAAAGACTATCGGCTCTGATAACGCGGAAAACGCGACTAATAATAGCTGCATCGTTTTCTATTATCCTCCAACTCGAGACTTTTAGATATCTTGAAATAATGTTAAGACATTTATAGTATCATCATAGATGCATTCGTTAATTATGATAGAATTATTCGTTAATTCATTGAAATAGAGAAATAATTAAATTATACAGAAAATATATGTATAAGATTAGATTATTTTAGATCTTTCTTTTCTTACATTTTCTCTAATTTTCTTTGCGCGAATTTTGTTAAATATAATTTAGCACAATTTTATATTATTATTATATGCAATAATTTAAGATTTACTATACATTTTAAAAATATAATTATTGCTATATAATATAATGTTAATCAAATATAGTAGGGTTACGCTTTGTAGATATTTACCTAAATATTCAATTCTCTTTGGCAATTATATAATATCTCGGAGCTAATATTAATCTTTTCATGTTTTTGTATATATATCTTCAAAAATATATTTATATATCGACTATGTATATTATATCAGGGATAATCTCTTTACGCAGAAGAAAGTTAGATCATTCAAATCCGGGATACGGATAACGCACGAAGAACGTGGACAGATCGCAGATGACAGAGCGCAGAATGCGTCCTGCAGTCCACCTTTCCCGCGCCCGCTCCCTTCCTCCCGCCGACTGTTCCTAATTCCGCCGGTTGCGCGGACGTCAAACAAACAACCGGCAATTAAATGCAAATACGGCTAATGCGTTCTGGGTCGGATGTGCAAGTCACCGTGCTCGTTATGGAGATCCACCCGCCGGCCATGTTGTTTCGAGGCCGCGTGTTCTGTTACATTCCGCGGTCGATATCGATGCGATGCCGCCGACGCTGACAGCATCGAAAAAGAGAGATGCCGCGCTCGGATAACCCACGTCCAACAAATACCCGCAAACAGAGCCCGGACCGCGAGCGACTCCGAGGAGAGGAATTCCTCTTTTGAATCTCCCTCCCTTTCTCTCTATCTCTCTTTCTTTCTCTGTCTCGCTCCTTCCTTCTTTCTCCTCGCGCGCCTTCTAGTTCTTTTTTGCCGCGCAGCGCCGCCGTCGCAGAAAAGCGGGTTATTAAACTATTACGAAGGCGGCACGGTGTTGAAAGCGGCTCCTCTCTGCTCCTCTCGCCGACTTGCTTCGAAGGATAAAAGCGGCTGGTATACAACGATACCTCGACGATACGAGAGTAAACGACGTCCAGGAGAAATGCTATTGTAGAACGCTCTACATCTCTTTAACGGTATGTTAAAAATGTTTTCTTTTTCGGGAGACAGAAGTCTCGAAGTTCGATACGGTGGGAAGTTTGTCATTTTCAAAAATAACGTATGTCTCTGTCTCTCTCCTTTCTTCCTTCCCCTCATGCTTTATCTAGTCCTTTTTTGCCGCGCAGCGCCGCCGTCGCAGAAAAGCGGGTTATTAAACTATTACGAAGGCGGCACGGTGTTGAAAGCGGCTCCTCTCTGCTCCTCTCGCCGACTTGCTTCGAGGGATAAAAGCGGCTGTATACACGATACCTCGACGATACGAGAGTAAACGACGTCCAGGAGGAATGCTACTGTAGAATGCTCTACATCTCTTTAACGGTATGTATAAAATATTTGCTTCTTCGGGAGAAGTCTCGAACTTCGATACGATCGGAAGTTCGTCATTTTCCGAAAAATAATGATTTTTGCTAAGCGCGCTTAATGAACGTTTAATGTTGAATTAACGACGATATATAACTTTGCAGCAAGATAAAAGAGGAATTATTTGAAAGGAAGTTTTTTAAAATCCTGAATAAGGAAAACAATGGATAATTTTTGTCGACTGTTTATTAATACATTGCACGCAAATTTGAACTAACCTCAACCGGTAAGTCTCGTTTCCCACGTAAAATGTGTGGAATTATTATTGAGGTTTCGAGATGTTTAATGTAAAGTATTTAAGAAAAATTTGATAATCGAAAGGAATAATATCACGAATATACATATATAATTTTTTATATAAATACTACAAATTTTTCATATAAAAAACCGTATTATTATGCTCTGTGTCTTGTCCGGAAAATTTTACTTTTTGTCCTATCTTTTCAAACGTGATACATATAGTTTCCACATTCTTCTTTTTCCGGACGAAGCTATATCGGTGCAATCTCACCCCCTCCCCTTTTTTCTTTTGATAGAATATTTATTATTAAAGAATATTTATTTTTTTAAATTATAATTTTATTATTATAAATATTGATCTTAATTTTATGAACTATATAAAACTATTCCGAGTTCGGTTTCGTCACTGAAAGACGGGAAATCAGATCGGTGTATTTCGACTCATTGTTTCATTTACAAGGTCATCTAAGAAAGAGACGTCTTCTCATATCCATCGGAGAGTGCGACTCTTCCATTTTGTTACTTCCGGGATTTCGCGAAATCCGTTAAACGAGTATTTAAATGTTTCTTTTAAGCGTCCTGCGATAGAGTCTTTAATTTAATTCCTCGAATAGAACGCTTCCAGCGACCGTATTTTTGCCACCGCAGTTGCGATATATTGTGTAAGTTTAGCATGTAAAAGATTTTTAAAATTTTTGAAACTGAATAATAAAGAGATATGTATATATGTAATTTAATTAATTTTTTAATCTTCTTCATTAAACGGAGAGATTATAACGCCAATGAATATGGTCACGTGTTTGCAATTTACTCGCGTACCTCATCTAAATTATTTGTTCACGGACAGTTGTTATAATTTACTTACAAGCACACGTGGGACGAATACATACAATTTCGAGCGTAACAGCACGTGGCGTTTATAATACTTGAAATCTTGATCCCCGATGCGATCTAACGTCATTCGTCAAGGTCCGCGATTACCTTTCGAAATCCAGATAAAAATCTCGCATTAAGTCTTGTGTGAGAAAACGATATACATGATCATTATGCTTATTTTACCAACAACAAAAATTTTTATTTTCCGAAAAAGGTACATAAATAATGAATAAAGAATAATAGTCTCTAATAATAATCTCTTATGTTATAGAATATAATGTATATAGTTTAAAATAATTTTTTATTTGTTAATGAATAATTAGAGCTCGCACAATTAATTATCGCGACTGACGATTCATAAGTCGACGCTATTTTATCAAAACAAATAATTTGCGCGATCTTAAATAAGAATTAAAACAATAAAAAATATGAATATTATAAATTCATTTTATCGCAAACTTTACGGGCAATAATTTTTTTTATTATATTTGAATTTGAATGTATCTCACATCGCGTTTTGAATTTCTCGGCGATTTAGATGTAATTTGCTAATCATTCTCGGATTCAGGGCGTTTAGTAATAAATGAATCACAGGATCAAGTTTAATAAAGAAAAAAAGTAGTGATACATTAGCCATTACATTTATCAATTAGATCGAAATTTAAAAAATATCCCGCATGCATTTATTCTATAGTGAGGTAAATATTTCATAGCAGCAATAAAATTACTTTCGCACAATGTTTGGCCTTCGTATTTGACGACGTATGTTGTTGTTGTGACTCGAGCGGGAAGGACGCGGTGTAAACAGCTGCGTATGTAGTCGGATTATATCTTTCGATAAACGCGATCATTCCCTACGATTGTTACAATTAGCGATTCACGACTCGCAAGCGTGTCGAAGGGACGGCTATTTATCGAAGCAGATATCTCGCACGCGATTTATTCCTCTGGAAATCAAAGCGATACGGGATGGCGATTATAAATTATTGTTTTGCTTCGATAATTATATCTTTAACGCTCGAGTAACGAATATATCTTGCATTGTACTTGGAAATTTTCGTAGATTTAAATATAATTTGCTCATTTTCGGATCGAGAAAGTACGCAATAATACACGAATAACATCAGGATATATATATCGATTATTTATTGATAATACATTTATTTCGCTGGAGACTTGTATGTGTTTGAAATGTATCGTGCGTGCGTGTAATACTGAATTTTTATTGTATTCGGATGATTAATCGCGTTTTAATTAGCCATTAACTCGATTTGCGCGGATTTAAAGAGAAAGGAATCCAGGCAACACATGTCCCTAAAAGACGTCTAAAAGACGAGTTTAAAGTCTTATTATCCTTTAAACATCTTTAAGACGTTTTTTTGCCTTCTTGTGTTGTTTAAAAAGAGAGAGACAATAATACTATCGGTATTATTTCAGGATTTTTTAATTAACAAAACATTGGAGATAAAGGACGAATTTCTATTCTTTTAGTAAAAATATAATCTTTATTAAGGTATTTTAATATTTACACCGTGTATAAATTCAACGTTCGTAAATCAGTCTTTTATTAAAACGCGTATTCTAATCTTCGAATACTTATCTTTAATTTGTATGTATATTTATTTACTTATGTTATAAAACACGTATATTATTTGTATGTTTAGCATTGCTGCGGCGAGTGGTGCGTGAATCTGGCTGCGCGATTTCGAGTATATCGTACGATCGTGGTTCTCCCATCGAAATATAATAAAGTGTCGGTCGCGTGTGCGGGAGTGCCGTACAAAGTGCCGCGCGATCGTCCTATTTTGCTGATTAGTGCGCACCCGAATGTGATTAACCGTGTTTTCGCGAGTGAGTGCTATGAAGGAGTAGCAAAGGACGAACAAGAGAGGATCCACGAGGGTATTAGGCAACGGCGGAGCAACCATAGGGTGAGCAACCAATAACTTATTTAATTTGTTTATTATTTGCTACTTGTAAAATTAATTGCTCTTTTATCTCCACGGTAAAAATTAGTCATTTTTTACATCTTTCGTTGTGTGATGCACATGAAACTTTCTACAGTTTATTTAAAATATATCAATTATATATGATATATGTATAACAGAATTAATGGAAAAATATAATTTTAATAACATAAAATATACTTTAACACTGTTTGAATTTTATAATTATTTACATTATTTAAATAGGAAAATTACATTGTTATTTATTATATTTTATAAAAGTTTATATCTGAAAAGAATTTTTTCGAAAATTATATAATCTGTTTAATTTAATGTTTATTTAAAGAATGAATAAAAAATACATGTGCTTGTTATTATTTTGAACATGTATGTGTGTGTTGTATAATTTGGATATATTTTTATTTTACAGATCAAGAGTTGTATGTGTTGCAAACTGTGCTGCTGCGTACCGGACTCGTGAATAATTAATTTAGCTTTTATTTTATTTTAACAAATCTCGAACAAGAAAATGATCAAGCACAAAGTTGACGTGTGAATATAATTTCATTATCGTGTCTTATTATCCGACGTTTAATGCGAAGCAAGTAATTAAATTTATTTCTCATAAAAAAAAGAAACTTAACTGCTTAAAATTTGAGCGTAGTAATTAGAGAATTTTATATCAGAGAAATGTAGGATTCAGTAGATTCTCTATACTTATATCAAGTAGCTTTAGTACTTAGAATTTTAATACTTGCTCACCTCGCGCTCAGCTCTCAAACGAAGCTCTCACGCGACGCAGCGGACAAATTAGTCTCGCGCGTGCAACGAGGCGGGTGGCACCCTCGTAAAGCCGCGCATCGGTCCAATAAACCGTGCCCTGAGAGTCAACACAGTGTATCTCGTGCGAGCGAGTCTCAATACGGGGGGGG